ACATACCTAATTGCTCAACAATTTCAGGAGGAAAAACACGCGATGCAAAAGCTCGCCTAAAGATGGCATTGAATTCCTTGTCCAAACCACCAATTCCCATTTTCTGAAAGTCCCAGTCTGGATTGATAATGGATTGTCGAGGTACTTTCCTGAAAATACATACAAAAAGAATTAATAACATTAGACATTTCAGTCACAACATTATACTACATCTCACAGGAAGAAAAACTAAACTACTGTGTCCTAACCTGATCAAACCATAGTAAATATTCAAAGAATGCATAACAATTGTCAGCAATGGTATCCATGGCAAACAAATAAATTCAGATGTTGCTAGTCCTCACTTTTGCCACCAGATTACAGCACGTAGATATCCACTTCAAGACTTCTCATCTTTCATTTTGTTATCGCTGCTCATAGAATATTCAGGAGTATGATTTTGAGGTTGTGCAGAATGGTACAACCTCCATACCAAATTTCATCCCAATCTATCCTGTGATTCTCAAGTAGAATCAACTACATGAATGGAAACAAGCAGCCCATAATGCATTCTCTCCATGCACTTCATGCAAAGTCGTTGTAACAAAAGATCAATAAAAAATGTTAATTACTGTCTGCATATAACTCACTTTTTGCCAATCCACTCTCTTTTCCTCCTGTTATTCTCTTTGTTGCCTCGTCTGTCACCTTGCTGAAGAGCACAGGAGATAAAACACTTCTACGTCTAGCTCCTCTAAATGTTTGGAAACTTTCAGACTTGTTACCATCTAAGAACATGCTGTTTTCATATTTGTCAAAAATGTTCCTTATTCTGCCCATTAGTCCTTTGGATACATTTGCCATGGGTAATATTTTCTAAATCTCCTGTCAATTTATACTACCACATGCCTTTTAAAAATCAATAAGAGTCTTTGCCAAATTTATTCTTTTTAATGTCTCACAAAGAAAAGCATAATTTCTAAAACCACTTCATTCTTCGTTCGTCCAGCAATGTTCCATGAAACAATTATGTAAGATTCAAAGTATAAAAGAAATCTTACCCTTTCGCTTTTCCAACAAGATTTAATGATGAGTTTTCAGCTTTCTCAAACTGCACCATTGTATCTCCCAGGCAACGTCCCATTTTAGTTTTCTTAGGTTTTGCATCCAGACCAGCTTTGATAGCACTCAGATCAGCAGCTGAAAATCAGTCAGTACACATATTAAGCAAGACTTGAGGTTCTCACAGCAGTGAATCTGAAGATGGCTGTCTTCTGGGTCATTGCACTGTATATTCTGCTATAAGTTTACCGACATTTCAGAGGTCCTTGCTGCCTGCCCTGATGATGGACTGGTAGACTTCTACCAGACTACACGGCACAACAACCCAGAAGACATCTTCAGCACACGTATTATTTCTTAAATTAAAATAGAGAATATTTCGATTTTGCTTTGGGAATCAATATCAGTATTGTGGTCAGAGTAGTCCATGACTAAAAAAATCATAGGCAGAAAAGACTTCCACAGCAGTGAGAATGATGTTCTGATTTTAACGCTACGCAGACTCATCTTAATAAAAATAAAAGTTACTATTGTAAGTTCTTCCACCAGATGGTAGCTCTTATATTTATGCAGACAGGGCACACACTTCAACTGACTCTACCTCTTAGGCACATACAGAACCCATAAAGAACCTATTACAGTAGCTTCATACACCTGTCCACATGCATGAAAAAACTTGAGAATGGAGAAACCAATTCTGAATAAAAATCACACTAGACAGTTTTATGAAAAACTTAAAAAAACTTAAATTTTCATTTTGAGGAGACATTTTAATGACTGAGTTTCATAAACAGTAGAGGATTTTATTCATGTAAGCTTATCACAATAGATCATTGTACACTAAAACAAATGCTAGAGTTCTTTTAGCAGAATTACACAAGAAACAATTACGGAAAAAGCAAAATAAAATCATGACTGAGTTTAGATTGCACTGAAAACAGATTTGTTATACATTTTATTACAATATGACTTGAAGCACATATTAAAAAATTATCTACATTTAATTTTCATTTAGTTTGCATGATAATAGTGAACACTGAAGCCTTAACACTGACTGTTTCTTCATGCATTATACAGTTCTAATTTCTCATCAATTTCAATAAATATCAACTAATGGTGAACAGTTGCATGTAAATTTAATGTTTGCTTATTACACGTACAAGGTAAGAGTTCATTGCAATTCAGTAAAGAGTATTACTTCCATGGATCATCTTAAAGTGAGTAAGTTTCACATCAGTTTATTTTTGTTCATACACATCATTTAATTCCTTCTGCTGAACATGCCTGACAAGTGCACACTGTCTCCTTTTACAACTTCGTTCATCGTCACTGTAACAATGCTTACATATATGCCCTCAGCGAAGACTTACCTTCGAGACTCTTGACAACCAAACCCAGCAGTTTCTTGTCAACAAAGTTAAATGCTAACTGTTGGCCAACTGTAAAAGCTTGACCTGAGAACTGCAGCAGAAATTCCTTTGCCATCTGATCTGTATCATAAGGCTCTAAAGTAGTGCTATGAAACACAGAAGACAAATAATAACAGACATAATATAAACAAAACACAACTCTTTCATTCTTAAAACACTACAAACACATAACTAGCAGGGCAAAATTCATAGATATATGCACAATACAGAATTCTCACAAAAAGGATATACTGAGTATGCACTGGCCCTCCTGTATCACAAATTTTGAATTCTGAAATATTCCTATAAACAAAGTTGTAAACAGTAAACCAATTGGGAAAATTTGTCAGTCTTCTGCAGGTCATTCAGCCCCACTGTGTTAATGTAAACTACACCTACCTTCTGATATTTAAAATGTTAGCAATAAGAATAAAACAATAACAAAGGAAACTTGTGTTATTGGCTCTTTTACTCACAAACATGGTCATATCTGATATAACTCACTAAGTCATACTGCCTCCGTCATCAGGGCGATGATGGTGGCAGTATGACCTCTGAAACGTTAATTAACATCGACCAGACTACACAGCGCAACAACCCAGAAGACAGCAATCTTCATACTCACCGCTGTGAAAACCTCAAATTTTACATATGTAACTGTTGTTTTACAAGTCTTTAATTGTGGAATCTGTGAAACTGTTACTCTGGCTTCTACTCAGGATATTAAGTAATATAATTATTTAAGGTGTGTTGTGGCTTATTCGGAATGTAACAGAACATTTTACTTTTACAAAATCATGCAGCTGACATCAAACAGCATAGTTGGCAGGCAAATTAAATGACAGGCAAGGTTTATAGTTGTACAGCATTTTAAACTATACAATGAAAAATATTATATTATATTACTCAGTCGACCAGTGAAGCTACAGGTGTATCCACCTCATATATAGAAAACATCTTGAAGGAGGGCAAAACAAATTCTCATGAAGATCACGCATTTTCAATACCAAAAAAGAAACCTCTAAGAAAGAAGTGAATACAATTCGACAGCTTCATAGTTGTTCTTGATAATGCAGCATACCACTGCACTAAAGAGAATAAAAGACCAACTTTGCTACTCTGAAAAAGATACTGTAACATGGATAAAAAGAACATGTTAATTTCTTGCATGCAATGAAAAAGCCACAACTCCTCAGGCTGATAAAATCAGTGAGAAAAGAAAAACCGTATTTAGTAGACAACATAATTAAAGAGAATGGACATGATGCATTGCACCTTTCTCCATACCACCCTGATTTAACACATACCAAACTGGTTTGGGGAGACATCAAAAATAAAGTAGCACAAGAATGCCTGTCTATGAATCTGAAAAAGTGGGTGTTTTGCCAAAATGTATTTGTTGGATGTACAACATAAAAGTGGCAAAACTGCTGCTCCCATATGAAGAAAATAGGAGAGGAATATCGGCAACAAGACAGCTCAATGGATGGATCAACAATTGACATCATGATTGTTCACTTAGGGGATAGTTCAGATTCCAAAAACAAAAACACAAAAGATAGAAAGAACAGAAGGTTTATTTATAAATTCCTAGAATCACTACTTCCCACAAAGTCACATGTACGAGGCTCGTCCTCAAAGTAAGTTTCCCTGGGGCCGTTTACAGAAACAAAACACAATTTCATGGAAATATTTATTGCAACAGATACAGCAAGTGTCCAGCTATTTTTCAACATATTCGCCACCGGAATTGAGACATTTGTCATACCGTGGGACCAACTTTTGAATACCTGTGTCGTAGAAGTCGGCCGCCTGGGATTGGAACCACTGTGTGACAACCATCTCCGCCTCTCTGTCATTCTCAAAACGCTGACACTGACCGGACAGGAATTTCTTGAGGTGTAGGAAAAGATGGAAATCACTGGGAGCGAGATCCGGGCTGTAGGGTGAATGATTAAACACCTCCCAGCGGAACTCCTGCAGGAGACTTCGCGCAATATAAGGTTTGCTAGCTGTGGGACGAGTGGGAAACTTACTTTGAGGACGCGCCTCATATCTAAGATTGTTAAAGTGGTTTACCACAACTTTGGTTTGTGATAAAAGACAATCCAAAAGAGATGTGCTAACTGAACAAAAAGTTCCAGACACCAAGATACAATTAGAGATTAATCCTCGCAGGTAATTTAGAATTCTAGCACAAGAAACTGATGTTTCACTGGGGTCTGCAATTAATAAGCATACTAATATGAATTCAAATTCACCAAAACAATAACAGCTGTGCATGAGATTAAACAACTAGATTGTGCATAAAAAATTAATTTCTGCAACTGGTTATAGCAAAATGCATACAATGGACTCATTGATCCAAAACTGCTATTTGTAAGTGATGAAGCATGGAATAATAATACTTCCAAAAATTCTTATGATATATATGGTAAGTTGTGTCACTTTCTACAAAACATATCACGTTACATAAAGTTTTTATGTATAATCAATTGTTTAAGCATTGCAATGATTTGCAAAGTGTTTGAGAATTTTTATTTAATATCATGTATCTTTATTAATGGGGTCACTTCTTCCCTAGAATATTTCCCTGTTTCCTCATTCACAAATTTCCAGACTGCCTTTATTTTATTATTAGACTCTACTATTTGTTTAGTGTAATGTATACATTTAGACTCTTTAATGATTTGAAAATCTTGCAAAATTTCCTGTAGTGAACTTTCATTACTTGTTGTTACTAAATTGACACATCAGGTAAATATCTTGATTATGTTAACAAGATGTTTTGATGTCTTTATTAATCCACTCATTATTTTCAGATAACCTTTTCACTGTTTTGGTAGTGCAATTTGCTTCAAATTTTTTTAAGATAGTTAGGAATGTGTTGAATCTACATCATGGCTGTTTAATACCAAGTCCCAGATTTTATTACTTACATATGATATAAATTCTGTATATATGTGATCTACTTACCTTTTCTTCTGCAAGAAATCTGCTTCCAAGACAATAGTACAAAGACATTCTGAACTCGAAATTGGATCAAAATGGTAAGGCTTTACTTCAATATCTTGATTAAGGGAAAG